TAAGGATTAACAACAGGACCTCAAGAAAGTGTAAGATTCCTGAGAACTGGGACAGTCAGCAGAGCTTCATGGAGGAGGGAGATAAGACCCTGAGATGCTAGGACTTGCGAGTCTGAGAGTTAAAGATGCTGCTGAGGAGGAAGGTGAACAGCATGAGAGAGGGAAGGATGCATGGCTGGTGAGATGCTTGTGGATGGTGAGAACCAGCTTGACTGAAAGAAAATGTGTGTGGCAAGGAATAGTGAGAAACATGAACAGGCTCTGAAAGCCAAGCAGAAGAGTTTGATAATGATGTTATAAGCAGCTCTCTAAATTCAATTTAGTCATATGACATCATAAGAAATTCAGACATCATCAAAACATAGAAAATTAAAAAGTGGAAAGTCCTATTGCCCCCAAATAATCACTCTTACCCATCTGGAGACCTACTCAGAACATTTTTTTAATGTATATGACATGCTGCTCTCTTATCACTTATTATGTATTGGCAATCTTGCCTCATTTTCAAAGAGATCTACTTCATTCCTTAAAAATGGCCTCATAATTTCCATTGTGTAGATGTATCATAATTTGTTTTCCCCAGTTTTTTGATCAAACAATCCTGCACAGATATTGTATAGACTTGCAAGTATATCCAGAGATAGATTCCTGTCAGGGGAAACTGCTGGTCCTAAGGTTATGTGCATTCCAATTTGGGTAGATATGATCACACTGCCGTCCATAGAGGCCCCACTGGTTTACATTCCCAGAAATTGTGCATGAACCTGCCTGTTTCCCTATATCTTCACCACTGAGCATATTTTCAAAACCAAAATTTATGCCAGTCAGGTGGTAATCTGTCCCTTCAAAACTGTGAGCTTTTGATTTACATTTATATGAGTAAGAAAGAACACATTTTTTTCATAGGTTTGCTAGACATTGATGTTCTGTCTATGAATTCTGCATTCATGTTCTTTGCTCTTTTTTGTCCACTGGGTTGCTAGTTTTCCTATTGGTTTCCAAACCCTCTTTGTAAGGCAAGGACATCACAGTGATTTAAGATTTTTCTGGCAGAGTTCTTCACACTGGACTGAAGCTGAGAGCCTTTGGCAGGGACATTGGCTGAGAGGAAGCTGTTTTCCATCAATTGCAAGTTGAGAAGGGCTCTGAATAGGGTCATATCACAGGAATAAGAAATACATTCAAGGACTCTGGTGATAGACTTGAGATAAATTGGGATGAAGGAAAGAAAGGACAAAGATAAACTCAAAGTTTCTAACAGGAAACAGAAACACTGGGGGTAACCCCGGTAGACCGGAAAGAAGGGCCAATTTGGAAGGGGAGATAACACCTCAATGTTGTAGATAGTGACTCTGAAATAGTATTGCATCTCCAAAAGAAGATGATTTACAGGCATTCAAGATATAGGATCCAATTAGGAATCAGGCCAGGGCTTCTGGGAATTATCTCTATAGAAGTGACAGCTGACATCACAGAGGAGATGATCTCAGTGTGGAAAAGAAAAAGAGAAGCAAAGCTGGACATAACACTTGAGGAACACCCACTGGGAGGAAGAGAGACCAGCAGAAGAGAGACAAATAAAAGAAGTAACACATAAGCTAAGAGTATCTAGATCAAGGGTTGGCAAACTATAGCCAGCAGGCCAATCTTGCACTTACCTTGTTTTTGTCAATAGTTTTATTGGAACATAGCCATGCCCATCTGCTGACATACTGTCTATGGCTGCTTTCAGACCATAGTGCTAAAAGCTGAGTAGCTGCAACTGGGACTATATGGCCTGCAAAGCCTAACATTTTTACTATTTGGCCCTTTACAGAAAATGCTTGACAACCCCTCTTCTAGAAAGAAAATTGTTGGCCAATCCATGTAGTCAAATGCTGCATAGAGTTAGAGGATGATTAGAAGTAGAAAAACACTATGGAATTTGGAGAAGAGGTAATAGACTACTCTGTAAACTTTCTGTATTATGTTGGGATTACAAAAGGGACTTTAAGACAATAGATGGAAGAGTTGAATCATATACACATCAGAAAAAGAACAAGAGATTGGTTGGTAGCTAACAAGAGTTGCAAGAGAAATAATGTCATACAGTCTATCCACTTGTCTGACCATCCTCTGCTTGTGATGAGAAGGTTGAGCTTAGCCATGATCATAGGGGCTGGAGCTGTGGTCAGTTTCATCAAGGACGTGGGAGAAAGAATACATTTGAGTAAATGTATTCAAGGGCATTTACTGCACCTTACCCATTGTGGCAAAATGGCCTATAGTATAGCATGTTACTATACTGTGACATGACTGTATCATTACTGCACTGCAGGCAATTATCGAAATATATCTCAATACAGAGAAGGTACAGTAAAAATATAGTATATAAAATAAAAAATGGTGCGCCTACATAGGGCACTGACCATGAATGGAGCTTGCGGCACTGGAAGTTGCTCTGGATGAGTTAGTGGGTGAGTGTGAGTGAATGCGGAGGCTGAGGACATCACTGTACACTACTGTGGACTTTATAAACACTCTATACTTAGACTATACTTATGCTAAATGTATAAGACATTTTCTTTCTTCAATAATAAGTTAACCTTAGCTTACTGGAACACTTTCACTTTATAAACTTAAAAAAAAAATTAAACTTTTTGACTCTTTGGTAACAGCAAACATTGTGTAGCTATACAGTATTTTTTTCGTTTTTAAAAAATTTATTTTTACTTGACAAATAATAGTTGTCCATATTCTATTTTTCTTTATATCGTTATTCCATAAGCTTTTATCTATTAATTTTATGTTTATAAACTTTTTCTTAAAAATAAGACACAAACACACACATTAGGCTAGCCTACAAAGGGTCAGGATCATTAAGAAGTTACTGGGCGGTAAGGATTTCTCATCATATATTTCATCATAATCTTATGGGACGGTACCACCATCTTGTAGTCCATCTTGACTGATACGTTGTTATGTGACATATGACTACATATACAAATATGTGTGTATACACCTAGGTAGTATATATTAGGCTGGTACAAAAGTAATTTGCACCACCTAATACATATTAAATTGATCATTCAGTAATTTTGGTTGCTGAGGCTTATATTTATGTGATTCAATGATCATTATGTTCATTATACTGCCTTTGAACTATCTCTGATACAGTTTAGGATTATTAACGATTAACAATGTCCAAGTAATTTTTTGTTAAATTTTTAAAATTAAAAAACTAAATTAATCTGTATATATTCCAATAGTTTATTAACCAAAGCACTTCATTTTGGACCATGCCTGGGCAACATGGTGAAACCCCGTCTCTACTAACAATACAAAAACTAGAGGGGCGTGGTGACGCGCATCTGTAGTCCCAGCTACCAAGGTTGGGGGCTGAGGAGGGAGGATCGTTTGAGCCCAGGAGTTGGAGGCTGCAGGGAGGTGAGCTTGTGCCACTGCACTGCAGCCTGGCCCACAGAGTGAGATCCTGTCTCAGACAAACAAAAAAGACCATATATAGTCACTTAGTGACTTCCAAAGAGTACAATTTAGCCATTAGTGAAGAGGAATCTATTTTCACCTGTGTTCTTTCGATCACTCTACTCACACATTTGTGCATTCGCTCATCAAACCTTAATTGATTCCTTAATGTACACAAGGCAATGTTCCAGGGGCAAAAAATATCTTTCATGCACTTGAAGGATTTTGTCCACTGAACAAATAATCTTATTTGACTAGTTTTAAAATAAAATAAAAATTGCCAGAGAATAGGAGGGAAGGTATGCGGTAAAAAAAATAATAATAATTTTGAGAGAGAACTGTTCATTTCTTCTCTGCTCATTTATTGCTATTGCTTCTCCTTGCTCTAGGAAGCAAGGTCATAATTCACTGCCACAGTGTATCCAAGCTTATCTTCCACAGCATTCTTCCTGAAAAATGGCACTTAAGCTTTATGCTACTATGACTGAATGGCTCTGTCTTCCTTTCTGAGTGAGCAGGGAAACCTCCTTCGGTGGGATGGAAAATACATTTCTATTCTTAGCATTATTAATTCTAATTCAGGAGGGCACAAAGAAAATGTCACTTTCCTGTGTGTCCTTAGGAGGTGCATACAGGGGAGACAAGAATTAAATAATGAACAGGTCCCAAACAATGCCATTTGATCCTAGGCATCAAAATTTCTTTCTGTTTCTCAATGCTACTAAAACACCACAATGAGGTTTGTAATTTTATTCTTTGAGAAATTGATTCCTGTAAGCTTTTAGCACAGTCGGAATTGCCCAATCTTATGAAATATTCTACACCCCCTACCCCCTGCCCCCAACCAAGCCCTTCTGGTAACACAGACCAGATTGCTAGATGTCCTACTGGCAGCTGACCTTTTCTTGTGAACTCCAGTCACTGGCCAAGGGAGAGAAGCATCAATGCTATAAAATCTCTTTTCTATGCCTGCAAGCAAAAATTTTACAACATTTCTCCTTGATATGAAATCTCTGCTTGGACATCTGGCTTCACAGTGAGAAAATTTCAATACACTAGCTTCAAAGAAAGGACTTAGCCCTGGTGGTGCAGTGATGCCAGAAGAATGTTCCACAGTCTCTTTAAAGAACTATTTCTAACGTTTCCCCAGATGAACTTCTGTGAGCCCAGTGGCTAGTGCTAACTCACATTTAGATAACTTGTCTTTGGCATATAGCCTTTTGTGGGCATTGCCCCTGGAGTATACAAATTATGCTCTTAGATAATACAGGCATACCTCAGAGATATTGCAGTTTCTGTTCTTGATCACTGCAGTAAAGCGAGTACCATGATAAAGAGAGTCTCACATTTGGTTTCCCAGTGTGTATGAAAGTCATGTTTATACCGTGTATACCATATACAATAGCATTATGTCTAAAAGAACAATGAACATACCTGAATTAAAACTTTCTTAATACTAAGAAATGTTAACAACCATCTGAGCCCCCAGAGAGTCCTAATCTTTTCATCAAAAGGGTCTTGTTTTTTTTTTTTTTAAACCAAAAAACACTTTTTCATTTAAAAAAGTATTTAGAACACATAAAACAAGGAAACATTTATTCTTTTTTTCTCATCTTTTGGTATGGGATCTGTTGGGGGCTCCTCCACTGTGGCACTGTTGCTCTCCGAGCCAGTGTTGCTATCACTGGTTCCTTCCTCTGCCATGCTGTCGACCCCCTCCTGCCCACTATCCTTGTCCTCAGGAGTAGACGTGCCTTCTTCACCGTTCTGTTGGCTCCCTGTCGTTTCTTCAAGGTGTGTCTCCTCTGTCTCCATTAGAATGTTCTCGCCATCCTTCTCCTCGCCTTTGTTGGCTGCTTGTTCTTCCTCAGGAACCACGCTGCTCTGGCTGCGTTCAGCTTGCTCTGCCGCCTCCTTCTCCCTTTCCTCCTGCCTTTTGCGGGCCTGCTCCTCTGCCTGTGCAGTCTCAGCTGCAATTTTCTCCATATCCACTTCTACTTTCAGACCACACAACCTTTTAAGTTCATTGTTAAATGAATCTGTGCTTTCCAGGAATTTCCTCTTCTTCTCCTGGTGTTGTTCTTCTATCTGAAGAAGTTCAGCTTCTAGTTTTCGCTGATGAACCATTAAGGACTGGACCTGTTGTTTGAGGACCTGCATTCTAGCTGTTGTGACAACTGACCGAACGTCTGGCACCACACTCTCACTAAGGATTTCACTGATGAGGCGATGGTTTCTCTGGAAACGGGCAGTGGCTGTATGCTTCATTGAAAAGCTATCATCGTAATCATCTGGATCTTCAGCAGGCTGAATGCTCATGTACGGTTCTCCTTTCTCCATGCAAGACTGTCTCTGTTGACTTTCTTCCTCTAAAGCAGCTTCTGCACGACTTTTTGCATTTATGTAAGCAAGGTACGCGGGGGAATTATGATAGGCCTTCAGAGATTCATTGTACTCTATCTTTTCTGCTTCGTATTCGTTTAAATATTCTTGTTTTACTTCATCGGTGAGATCTCGCCACATGCCACCAATAATCTTGCCAATCTCCCACAACTTTAGGTCAGGGTTGGAAGCTTTTACTTGGTCCCAGACCTTTCTGCTGTACCTCATGTAGGGCATCAGTGGCTTATCTGGTGGCTTTGGGGGTTTTGGAATCGTAATACCAGAGGATGCTGTGACTCGGCTGTTGGTGCCCGGGTTCCCTCCCAGCCTGTAGTTGTTGTAGGCGAGATGACTGTATGGATTGTATCCCACAAACCCTGGTGTGCTGGGCATTTGTGTTGCAGGAGCTAGGGTGGGAGGTGGGGCATAAGATGGTCTTTTTGACATTTTGGAAGATTAAGTTCTCAGTTCCTTAAGAATGAATCTGAGACACTGCGGGCAGAAAAAGCGCCCGCAGCTCCGGCTTCGCTTCCCTTTGTCCCCAGGGTCTTGCTTGCTTTTGATGCTGATGGCTGCTGACTGATAAGGGTGGTGGTTGCTGATGGCTGGGGTGGCTGTGGCAATTTCTTAAATAAGATGAAAATAAAGTTCACTGCACTGATGGACTTCCTTTCTTGAAAGATTTCTCTGTAGCATGCGATGCTGTTTGATTTAATCACAGTAGGATTTCTTTGAAAATGGGCGTCTACCCTCTCAGATCCTGCCACTGCGCTATCAACTAAGTTGATGTAATATTTTAAATCCTATGTTGTGATTTCAACAATGTTCACAGCATCTTCACCAGGAGTAGATTCTATCTCAAGAAAGCACTGTCTTTGCTCATTCATAAGAAGCAACTCTTCATTCAAGTTTGGTCATGAGGTTGTAGCAATTCAGTCACATCTTTAGGCTCCACTTCCAATTCTAGTTCTCTTGCTATTTCTACCACATCTGCAGTTACTTCCTCAAAGTCATTCATGAGAGTTGGAATCAACTTCTTCCAAACTCCTATTAATGTTGATATTTGACCTCCTCCCTTGAATCAAAAATGTTCTTAATGGCTCTAAAGTGGTTAAGCCTTTCCAGCAAGTTTTCAATTTACTTTGCCCAGATCCTTCAGAGGAATTACCATCTATGACAGCTATAGTTTTATGAAATGTATTTTTGACATAATAAGATTTGAAAATTGAAATGACTCCTTGGTTCATGAACTGCAGAACGGATGCTGTGTTAGCAGGCAAGAAAACAACATTCATCTCCTTGTACATCTCCACCAGAGCTCTTGGGTGACCAGGTGCATGGTCAATAAGCAGGAATTTCTTTAAAGGCATCTTTTTTTCTGAGCAGTAGGTCTCAATAGCAGACTTAAAACATTCGGAAAACCATGCTGTAAACGAAACTGCACAGGCTTTCTTGTTCCATTGAAAAAGCACAGGCAGATTAGATTTAGCATCATTCTTAAGGGTCCTAGGATTTTTGCAATGGTTAATGAGCACTGGCCTTAACTTAAAGTCACCAGCTGCACTTGCCCTGAATAAGAGAGTTAGCCTGTCCTTTATAGTCTTAAATCTGGACATTGACTTCTCCTCTATAGCAATAAAGGTCCTAGATGGCATCTTGTTCCAGTAGAAGGCTGCTTCATCTACATAGAAAATCTGTCATTTAGTGTAGTCACCCTCATCAATGATCTTAGCTAGATCTTCTGGATAACTTGCTGCAGCATCTCCATCAGCACTTGCTGCTTCACCTTGCATTTTTATGTTATGGAGATGGCTTCTTTCCTTAAACCTTATGAACAAACCTCTGCTAGCTTCCCTCACCTCTCTCAGCCTTCACAGAATTGAAGAAATTTATGGCCTTGCTCTGAATTGGACTTTGGCTTAAGGAAATGTTGTGGTTGGTTTGATCTATCTAGACTACTAAAACTTTCTCCATATCACCTCAAAGTTGCTTTGCTTTCTATCATTCGTGTGTTCACTGGAGTGGTACTTTTAATTTCCTTCAAGAATTTTTCCAGGCTGGGTGCCTGTAATCCCAGTGGCTCATGTCTGTAATTCCAGCACTTTGGGAGGCTGAAGCAGGTATATCACGAGGTCAGGAGTTCGAGACCAGCCTTGTCAACATAGTGAAAC